TCAATCCCACTATTCGTTGGAAAAAGAGTAGCCCAAGAGTTGGCGGTAGGTGTTGATGACTAGCTGCCTTCCATTTAGCCTTACACTGCTAAATTATGGACGGCTAGCGCTGATAGCCCTCGTGTAGCTTTGCGCAAAATTAAAAAAAACAAACAAACATTACACCAACACTCACTACACTTATATATAAGGTTTCACGTCACCCCCTCACGGCTCCCTTGCACACACACACCCCTCACTATAATCGCAATGGTCAGACAGTAATCGAACTATTCCATCTGGATAAATGCATTTTGGCTTTTATGACTCCTCCCATTTCGAGAAATCACGTGTGACGTGACACACACTGGCTTTTATATAGGTTAAATATCTGAATGGATGCGAAAACAATATTCCTGGTAACATAAAATAGATTGGACGTTATACTCTGTGTTTCTAAAAGTTATCTCTTCAAACTAAATAAATTTAACATGTTATAAAATCTAATTAGGCTTAGTTCAGACGTAAGAATTCCAAGTACATGTATATATTATTTACACTCAGTGCTTATAAATCTTTATATGAGTATTGCAAAATGTTTTTAACGTTCACGTTGCGAGATTTTCCGTTAGTCCTAAGTTAAACATAGTATGAAAAAAACAAACATAAAGGTAAGTAGCTTGAACATTGAACACAAAATTTCTCTGTTCTTGTTCAGCCTCTTAGTCTTCACTATAGCAATTACAATACTAATTCGTTATATCTCACCTTCAACAAGCCCTCTTTCATTCAGTCATACCCTCATTATCTTCTTCCAGTTATTTGTCTTGTCGAGTTGAAATAGTTTAATATCATGTGTGAATATTCCATTTTGGACTCATCAGAGGTCATAAATGTATCAATTCTGTATGACAAGATTTGGAAGACAACTTCATTGAAGCGTCACTTGTACCTCACATAGATATCAGAAACAATTCTGCCTTCTTCCATATTATTCACTAGTTTAAATGACGAACTGAAACGTTTTTCGTTTTCTTAAAGTGAGAACATTTCGAAGAAATTAGTGCTTTTCTTGTGACAACTTTGGGGAAGTGAGAACATTTCGAAGAAATTAGTGCTTTTCTTGTGACAACTTTGGGGAAGTGAGAACATTTCGAAGAAATTAGTGCTTTTCTTGTGACAACTTTGGGGAAGTGAGAACATTTCGAAAAAATTAGTGCTTTTCTTGTGACAACTTTGGGGAAGTGAGAACATATTGAAGAAATCAGTGCTTTTCTTGTGACAACTTTGGGGAAGTGAGAACATTTCGAAGAAATCAGTGCTTTTCTTGTGACAACTTTGGGGAAGTGAGAACATTTCGAAGAAATTAGTGCTTTTCTTGTGACAACTTTAGGGAAGTGAGAACATTTCGAAGAAATTAGTGCTTTTCTTTTTACGAATGTCATTTCAAATCTTTCAGCTAATACTATCTTAATGTAATTTTCTTTAAATGTCAATTTTTTTCTGTGCCCTTTTACAACGAATTGATAGTTATATAGTTTAGTGGTTAGATTTGCCACCCACGTTTTGATCACTTTACGATGGTTGGTAGCCTGAAAATTATCAAACTTCTCACATTTCAATACTGCCCTGAAATTCGAAGCTTTCTTTCGACATGAAGGAATTATACCTTTTTGGCTCAATGTCACATTTCTTTGGTATCTGCAATGATGGAAAACGAAAACTTGGATCATTTTTAACGATTCTTCTTAACCGTGCTCAATATATACAGTCGAACATTGCTATTTCGTATTTCAATATCTCGTACACAAGGTTGATGTCAAAATGAAACTTCATTCCTTTAAAACTTATCGTATTTACGTTTATTATGTATCAAAAGTATGGTAATATCAGTCCTCTGATATCTCCTCGGATAAATGTCCAATTCCTGGCACTGCGATATATCAATGTTCGACAGTTCTTTATATTTCAGTGTACTAAGTAAACAGTCTAGAAAAGTAACTTCTTGACGTGTCCTATAGCCAAAATGTCAGAACAATAGCTATGAATGTCAAACATCTCTCGGGATTATAAAAAAAAAAAAAAACCGGCAAACTAGAATAGGTGGGTATTCACAACCCCCCCCCCTCCCATTATAGTCCCTTATTATTCTCGTCTGTGTTTGTTGTTAAACTAATGATAAGAAGAATCTGGTCTACAAAATAACAAGAGTGATTAGTCAGCAACCGGACCTCTCTTGGCTGAGGAAAGCCAAGCAATTACGATCTTTAGTCCTATTTTAATTGAATTCGTCCATTGGGCTTGATGAAGAGGATTTTATTACAAAATGAAAACAAATTGAATGTAACAAAGCACGCGAAAGGCTGCTCAGAAGAAGTACGAGTCATTCTTACTTAAAATTATCTGTGTGTCGACGTTTAAGTTTAAAAAATATCCAAGAAAAGTTGCTCGATCACTCGAACATTAGCACTCCTAATCCCATGACAGGTCAGGGGAAAGTTTAGAAAGTTACAACTCCAGAATCCGGGGTTCGATTCCAGAAGGTAGATAGAGTGCAGATAGCCTATTGTGTAGCCTTGCGTTAAAACAAATAAACCAAACCTTAATTTTACAACGAGATAAAATAGAAGTTATTGTTTTTACAAGTTACAGATTTACAGTGAGGAAGAATGGTTTTTAAACAGGCACAACGTTTTAAATATTGCAACCTGTTTAAAGATATATTTTCCCTTACTTTTATAGCTATAAATATTTATAATCAGTAAGTAAACTCAAATGAAACTTTCAAAACGGAAGCTAATTTAGCCGACATTTACTTCCAAAATTACGATAACCATTTCCAATTCTTCCTCCTCTCCGTTCACACCGATATGTATGATATACATATATATATTTATGCATGTGTATAGCCTAACCAATAACCACATATCCGACTGTTTACATAAAACGTCTTCTATGTAATATAATGTAGCAACTGGATTAGCAATGCAGTAACATAACATACAGTAACAAAAGTGTATTCACAACCATGGGTATTGGCAGGAAAATATACAAAAGATTGATACACGACGTGTTTGCACTGTATTGACAGCTTTATATGGCTAAAGGAACTCTTCGTGTCAAAGCAAACGAAGATATTTCTAGAATTATCACTTGATCCATCAATGTTCACATTGGAAGGCCTCATCGATGTCAACACCATTGTTCACTAAATGTCAAAAGACTGTTTTCCCAGAATCAAAGAGCATGTTTGCGGATAATATCGATAAAACACTCAAACTCAAGCCTAGCAGTATATAAATAAAGATTGAGATTCTGGAAAACGTAAGCTTTTCACTCTGTTCCAAAACAGATATAAATAAAAAGATCGCGCCATTTCCATCACGAGTTAAAGGGGAGGGAAGCTTCAACGAACTAACGCATCTCTGTACATATTGTATGACAGCGGTTCCCAAACTTTAGTAACCCCAGGACCCCCTTTTAACTTAAAATGTTTTTTTTTTACGGACCCACAACCCTATCGATGTTTTCTTTTTTGTTTTGAAAAAAAAAAGATCCCATGTACATGAAAAAGCTATATTCCATAATGTAATGTTTTAATTCATATAAATTTAATTTTACGAAAAATAATTTCGTTTATAGTTTTTTTTTAATATTTGTATGAAAATGTTGAACATGACACGCGGACCCCTTTGAAGTACCCTCACGGATCCAATTTTTTGCTATTTTATGACACAAGGTCGCATTAAATTGAACATCATTTTTTAACGTTAACAAATACAACTTTGGTGATCATATGAATAATTTAAATTTCTTTTGAGGTCTGAAGGCTGATAATGAGAACAAACTGGGTTTCGATACTCGTGGTGGGCACAGCACAGATAGCCCATTGTTTAACTTTGTGGTGTTCAGTTTCACGTTAACTTTTCTCATTAGGGCCTCCCAGTAGCACAGCGGTATGTCTGCGGACTTACAACGCTAGAATCCGGGTTTCGATACCCGTGGTGGGCAGAGCACAGATAGCCCATTGTGTAGCTTTGTGATAATTTCAAACAAACAAACAATTCTCATTAGGATGTTTATCATCATGCCCTCTAGCGATATGTCTGTAGACTCATTACGCTAAAAGTTGAATTTTGATACCAGCGGTGGGCACAGTACAGATAGCTCGTTGTGTAGCTTTGTGGTTAGCTGCAAACAAACAATTTTTAACGTCAATATTTATTCCACATATGGACTAAAGATGTCCCCGCATACACTTGTTTTGTATAAACATTATTTACTTCATGTCCACAAATAACTAAAATGTATAAAAAATATAGTTAGATATTCATTCGTTGTTTTATTTCTGGGAAAACAAACAAACTTAAAAGCCATGCACACAAGTTTGCTTACTGGATTACGCGCAAAGCTACTCGAGGGCTATCTGTGCTATCTGTTCCTAATTTAGCAGTGACTGACTAGAGGGAGGGCAGCTAGTCAACACCACTCGCCGCAACCTCTTGGACTACTCTTTTACCAACGAAAAATGGAATTGACCATCACATTATAGCGCCCCCACGGCTGAAAGAGAGAGTATGTTTGGTGACGGGATTCGAACTCACGAGTTTGCGAGTCGAGTGCCTTAACCACCAGATGGCGAGAGAAAAGCCAGAGTGGAACAGACATTAATAAACACTCTTTCGGCGTTGTTAAACGAAATACGTAGTATCTTTAAATTCGAACTCACGAGTTTGCGAGTCGAGTGCCTTAACTACCAGATGGCGAGAGAAAAGCCAGAGTGGAACAGCCATTAATAAACACTCTTTCGGCGTTGTTAAACGAAATACGTTGGTTAACTTTTTAAAACCAAACCTAAGATTCTGTCTCTTCCTTGTTTACGCTTGGTGCAGAGGTGTGCGTAGCGCCGATATGTTTCTAGGAGTGACTGGTGGATCGACGCTACGTTTGAAAATTCCTAGCGATTGTAGGTAGCGTTACTCCATTACTAGCACTTGTAGGTAGTGTTACTCCATTGCTAGCACTTGTAGGTAGTGTTACTCCATTGCTAGCGATTGTAGGTAGTGTTACTCCATTGCTAGCGATTGTAGGTAGCGTTACTCCATTACTAGCAATTGTAGGTAGTGTTGCTCCATTACTAGCAATTGTAGGTAGTGTTACTCCATTGCTAGCAATTGTAGGTAGCGTTGCTCCATTACTAGCGATTGTAGGTAGCGTTGCTCCATTACTAGCGATTGTAGGTAGCGTTGCTCCATTACTAGCGATTGTAGGTAGCGTTGCTCCATTACTAGCGATTGTAGGTAGCGTTGCTCCATTACTAGCGATTGTAGGTAGCGTTGCTCCATTACTAGCAACTGTAGGTAGCGTTGCTTCATTACTAGCGATTGTAGGTAGTGTTGCTCCATTACTAGCGATTGTAGATAGTGTTGCTCCATTACTAGCGATTGTAGGTAGCGTTGCTCCATTCCTAGCGATTGTAGGTAGCGTTGCTCCATTGCTAGCGATTGTAGGTAGCGTTGCTCCATTGCTAGCGATTTTAGGTAGTGTTGCTCCATTACTAGCGATTGTAGGTAGCGTTACTCCATTACTAGCGATTGTAGGTAGCGTTGCTCCATTACTAGCGATTGTAGGTAGCGTTGCTCCATTACTAGCGATTGTAGGTAGCGTTGCTCCATTACTAGC